TGCACACTTTGTTTCTCCCAAGCCAAGCATTTTTTTCCAATGCAAAAGCAAAGATTCTTTTATTGTTTAACTAGCTAACCCCATTAGCTTGGGCCCTTCATTCATTCATTGAGGTGGAGGCTGAAGAAGGACCCGAAGAAACCAAGAGGCAAGGAACTTATAGGGCAGCATAAGAGGAGTGTCTAGGGGTATGCAATAGTCTCAGGATTGGTGTGCTTCCAGACTTGAGTGACCTGTCCTGTGCTGATTGGTCAACTGGTTGTTATGGCCTATAGGACCTCCTAGGGCAGTTGCTATGCTCTGCACATCACTGTTGTGCACTTGTACCATAAAGCACACCCAGAGCCATAAAGCACAACCCCACCAGCTAACTTCTGAGCCAAGCATTTTTTTTTTTTTTTTTTTTTTTTTTATGGAATGTACTCAAATTCCTGACATCCAGAAAGAACAATAGGAGAGGGGACAACTGAAAATTGTCTTCATCTGAGACCACAGAGATTGTAAGTCACAGACCAGAGACTCTTGATCTGTGGCCTGTGGCCTGTGGCCTTTGGCCTGGCCCAGCATACAAGGACTTATGCTTTTTCTACTCCACCTGGGCTCACCTGGGGTCGTTTAAGGTTTTTCTCCCATCATTTACACTGAGACATTAAAATCTTCCCATAAAGGAGTGTCACTATTGTATTGCAAACTAGCTTTGGCAGAAAAAAGGACTTGAGTCTTTTGACAGTTTCTGCCTTAAGTTACCACGTCTGTGCACACAGTAGTTTTGTGGGATGTTTTTCAAGGGAGTACAAACAGAAAAAAATCCTCTGTCTAGGGACAGCAGCTCCTTCTCCAACACACTACCATAGCTCAGTTGCATCTAACTGTTCCATGTATTCCAAACACAGGCACTTCTCTGTGTCCACCAACCTCAAGTCAATGACTTACATGTTAAAAATAATTGTATTTTTAGAAATTATCATTTTCTTGTCATTCCCAGGAAGAGAAGTTGTATATGATGGCACATCTTAGCCCTTTCTTAAGATGAATCATTTATGTGCCATTTGGTTTTGGCATGTTTCTTGCAGCAGCTATTAGCATACATGTACTATTATCTGGCAATAGTGAGTCTGACCTGGGAAGAATCTAACTGCTTAGCTTTCCTATGTCTTACAACCAATTATAAGTTCAAAAGCATCCTTAAGATTCTGATCAGGTTACAGTCTGGATGGAAGAAATGTCAGTGATCCAGGAAATGTAAATGACCTTTTCCTTATTCCGCACTGGATGCATCAGTGCTATGAAGGGTACTGCCGAAAGCAGCACGAGGCAATGGCGTTTGAAGAGTTCTTTGCTCTTGCTTCAGGTGGATCATCCATGCCATGGAATATGAACTACAGATCCGGGGTGGAGATAAGCCGGCCGTGGACTTGTATCAACTCTCACCCAGTGAAGTTAAGCAACTGCTGCTAGACATTCTCCAGCCACAGCAGAGTGGAAGGTAAGTGAGGCTTTTATCAGCCATAGACACTCCGAGACACAGAAACATCTGATATTTTAGCTGATAAGAATGAGAAATTAGTACAATATTGATAAGAAAATTCTGACGTTGAGCATGGTGGCATGTACCTATAATCCCAACACTTATGATGCAGAGTCAAAAGTATTGTCTGGGCTTTGTAGTGAGTACCAGGCTGGAACAGAAAGAAGTTAAATGGAACACAAGGCCACCTTCCCAGCTAGATGGCATTAGACACTGTTGAATCTAAATGTTGGGATTTGTGATTCTGTGTTGATTTGCATTTTATATGTTTTTCCAGGTATAGTTTATAATTTTCCAATTTTTTTATTATTCTGTGCAATATGTTACATTTTATACAACTGTGATTAAATTTTCTTTCTGGAGCTTTATAGCATGTTGCATCTCCTGCCAAGACTTTGTCAGAAGAAATTGGGTTTGGTAACATTATGTAGATGCACTACCTGATTCTGCCTCCCAAATAGACTATAACCATCAGAGAGAAGCCTTTTCATATACTTTACTTAGAAGAGAGTAAAAATAAAACAAGTATTTGTGGATTGCCTTAAAGTTCTTATTTTTTTTTAATTCCAGAATGAGCAGTAGTGTAATTATTTAGGCAAAGTACATATTTAGTGTATCTGTGTCAAGCATCCCCAAAACGATGAAGTAATATGCCTAGAAGAATCTAACTGGATTACCTACAAGAGAGATTGTCTATTAAAGTATGTCTGCATATATGTGTGTGTGTTTGTATGTGTGTATTCATTTATTATATACAGCATATGTATAAATATGCATATGATTACAGATATGTGCCTCACTGGCTTCTATAGCAATATATTTGAACAAAAGAGTAAGTCTCCTTGTTATACAACAGTTAACATTATAAAATGTTAGTGGTAAATGTAACAGCATCCCATGACATCCCAAGAGCTGTTTTCTGAGCTTCATGTGGATAAACTAACATGAGAGAAGAACTGACAAACATAAAAGGAAAAACTTTCTCTGATACTTTTAAAGCATGTCACATAGCTTCTGTGATTAAAACAATGTGGTATTGGTGCTGAACAGATAGGCCCACTGGAGAGAAAAGAGACCCGAGATAACCCTTCAGTAAATATACATTAAGAATTTGCTACATGGTAACATTGCCATCACAAGTAACTGGATCAAGAATGGACTTTTAAAATAAATACTTTTCACAACTGGATCATTGTTTACAAAGAGATTAAGTCAGATACTTGTTATGACACCCCAGAACCAGCTCCAAGTAGATTAGAGGTCTTCATGTAAATCATGGGACAGAGATGACATTGGTCTTCATGTAAATCATGGGACAGAGATGACATTGGTAAATTTCTCTTTAACCTTGGAGTGGGAAAGACATTAAGCATGATTTAATCAAGGGTAGGATAAGAAATAACTAATAAAACTTACCAGATATTTAAAAAAATTTTCAAGGCAAAGATATTGTCAGAAGAAAACCAAGAAACTGGACCCAAACGTTAGTACCTAAGAATTCTTAAGAACTGATAAATAGCCACCCCAAACCAAGATGAACATGAACAATATGTACATTTCACTAAATGTGGCCTTTGCCAATCTTAAAAGACATTCATATTAATATACAATTAGAACTGTATCTAGGGCATGCCAAGAGATTTCTTACCTGTCTCAGGGCCTAAAGTGAGCTTTTTCCAAGCTGTGAGGAGAAGGAACTGCCTATGTAACTGGGGGCACAGCCCCTTTTGAAGGAATTTGACATCTAAGAACTCTTTGCTTCAACCCAGGTCCTTTTAGTAATCTGCTTTGGAGATATGTTTCCAACAACAGAAAAATGTGTGTGATTAGACCATTGATTAAATCAGTGCTTATAATTGAAAATTTTAGCATTTCTTTTTTTTTGGGGGGTGGGGTTTCAAGGCAGGGTTTCTCTGTGGCTTGGAGGCTGTCCTGGAACTAGCTCTGGTAGACCAGGCTTATCTTGAACTCACAGAGATCCGTCTGCCTCTGCCTCAAGTGCTGGGATTAAAGGTGTGAACCACCCCTGCTGGGCAGATTTTAGCATTTCTATAATCTAAATAAATCTAAATGTCCATACACAAGAAACAACCAGGACAAAATGTGATATGCCACCTAACATGCACTGCACACCTTTGAAGAATGGAATTCTAAGATATATTGTAAGATGAAAAAGTGCAAAAGAATGTCAGTTCTTATTTTTAAAATGTATGTATTCATTTGTGATTAGTGCTGTTCAGGGAGGTTAAGAACAGGAATGGTGAAGCAGATACAGTGTAACAGAGTTGAGCACAGAGTAGGCCTTCCCCCAGCTGACCTCTGTGCATGGAACACCCCCTCATAAGTGGTAGGGGTGTTGCATGCACCCAGAATTAAGTAATGTATTAAAATCAGTCTATATGTGGAGGAGCTCAGAGTAGAGTGGAAACCAACAAATGAACCCAGTTCACACAAATGAGTACTACTACACTAAGGAAGATGACAAAGCCAAAGTCCCTGCTGAAATCATTCCTTCTGCTAGACACTGAAAGGCTAAGTAAGCAAAACCACACACAAATGCTGCCTCCAGTTAAAGCATGCTTCTCACCAATGATTACTCACTAGCAATCTGAATTTCAGTACAGTAAGATTGAATAGTGAGTAAATGTATTATGCCTGAAAAGGAGGTTTCTCACTGTTAGTGGCCATTCCTATAAGGGGAGGCAGGGGGTAGGTTGACTGGAATTGACAAACCAATATAAAGTCATAGTTTTACACAATAGATTCAGAAATGAACATGGATCTGTGTTTGTGCATATGCATGTGTTTTCTAGTTCTGGCCACTGAGATGCCTGCCCAAGAGCAGTGAAACTGCCACAGTAATGAGCAAACCTGAAACACTATAATAAGAAGAATCAGCTCTTCTTGGAGAAATAGTTGGTTTCAGAGAAAAGCAAAGAAAAAATGTAAGCCAGAAGCATCCTTGTGCCAGAAAGCAAAAAACATCTCAAAATGCCATAGAGATGTGTGGCTAGACACTGGAGAAACTGGAAGAGGCTCCTGGAACTCCACCTAAGATGAGGTTTTTTGTTTTTTCTAATGTGTACCTGCTAATGTTTGTAGAAGAAATACACACATAATAGGAATAGATTATAGCAGATAAGCTGATAGAAATCAGTTAGAGAAGGGACTCTGCCTTAAGGCAGAATCTGATTAATAAGTATAGATAGACTGATGGGAATAGAAAATGATCGCAGAGAAAATACAGCAGTAGCTGCAGGCAAGAACCACTGTTAGAAGTAATGTGCAGTGAAAACTTGCACAGTGCCTGAGTATTTCTCTTCAACATCTTCACAATAGAAAGAAAAACAAGTGATTTTTATTGTAGTGGACAAACCTTTCAGACTCCGTTACCCCAAAACGATAAAGATTGACATCACAGGTGATTAAGACTTCACTTCTGTTACCCTCGTTTGAGGTTTTGAAACTGACCCCCTATCTCTTTTGGATAGTCTTACCCAAATTCATTATTTTACAAGAAACCACCAGAGAAAAATCCTATGAAACAGCAGATATTACTAAGGTATGAAAACTTAAAAAATAAATAAATGAAAACCTACCACGGACGCAAGGAGCCCTCAAGACTTGGAAATTAAATGATACAGGCTGTCCTAAATTGGAGCCTAACTTGGTAGAATGTCAATAAGGCTTAAAAATAAATTTCTGTTATTGTATGGCTTTTGATTTCTTTTTTTTTTTTTTTTGGTGGGGGGTTGGGGGTGAAGGGGTGGGGTGAGACAGGGTTTCTCTTGTCTGTGTAGCTTTGGAGCCTCTCCTGGCACGCAGCTCTGTAGACCAGGCTGGCCTCGAACTCACAGAGATCCGCCTGCCTCTGTCTCCCAAGTGCTGGGATTAAAGGCGTGTGTCACCAACATCCAGAAGCTTTTGATTTCTTGGTGCCAATAATTAAGCTATGATTATATAAGATGATAAGAGTGGGAGAGGGCTTGAGTAAAGAGGCATAAGAAATTTGCATTATTTTTGTGACTTCTGTAAATGTAAAGTTTTTCAAAGTAATATGACAATTTTAAAGTAGAGCTGGAGAAATGATTCACTGGCTGCTCTTAAGATGACACAACTTCAATTCCCAGCATCCACATGGTGGCTCAAAACCACTTGTAGCTCCAGTTTCAGGGAATCCAATGCCCTCTTCTGTCTTCCCACAGGCACCAGGCCTGAACGTAATAATACATGCAAAATACCCATACAGAATAGTAATAATAACAATCTTGTAAAATAATTTGCCAGTTCCATTGTGAGTATTCTCATATTCTTTTTATGTTCTAGGCAAGTAGCCATAACTTCATAGAGCTCTGAAATACATTTTTGTTATTGTCACATTTAATGAATATAGTTAAAATACAAATGCAGAGGGTATTTAGCTACCAAAGAAAAACATCACCAAGGTACCACGAGGTGCTTGACCTTGTTGCCTTTTAGCAAAACACTGAAAGCAATAGTGTAAGTCTGGATCTATCAATGGAAACTTCAGCCATCCAGAAAAGATCACTCTTAATCACTAAATTTATCAAATTGCACTGGTCCTCTGCCACAAAAACAAGCATCTTTAGCTGTTTACTCTGTCCTGTACAGCCACTTTTGTACTTAGAAATATTGCCAGTTTGTTGATCCTGACACACCTTGATCCTGACACACCTTGTATGTGATAATTGTGCATTTCAGTCTGTCTTCTTTGTAAGTACCAAGTGTAAATAGACACACACACAGGCACACACTCAATTTCAGCTTTTGCAAAATTATACTGTGTCATTGTGTGTTCTTTAAAAACAAAGCAAGTCCTGTACCTTTGGCATTTGTGAATGGTATATTAATTTAATATCTAATCTAGAATTTAGGTTTATTACTATGGTTCTGGTCATAACTCTAATGTGTAAGATTCTATATCTGGTTGACATTTAAGATTTAATACTTAGTTTTTTGAACTGAGACTTCATCCTTCTTTAAATGGGCAGCTTTTATAATATTTAAAATAAGATCATTTCATTTTGCATATATGTGTGTGTGTGTGTGTGTGTGTGTGTGTGTAGACAGACAGACAGACAGATAGGTAATACTTTTCTGAACATTTACTTGCTCATTTTTTATCAAATGTTTATTGAGCCCACTCTGGGAAGGATCTATAGGAATGATCAAGCTATATGATATCCATACCTTTCTGGTGCTTACATTTTATTAATGTGAGAACAGTATAAAATAACTGTGAAATTGGTTGTGCCCATTTTTGATAAGGGAAAATCTTCTGATGATGTAGTAAGCAACTCATAGCTTGCTAGAGAACCTCATCCTGCCTGTGAATGCTGCAAGTTGTGAGGCTGTCCTCCTCCACTAAACATGGCAGACATGAGCCACTGAAGTTTTTTTTTTACTCTTGCTCACTCTGTTGGCACACAGAACCCTGCTCTCTCCAAAAAAAAAAACAAAAAAACAAAAAAAAACTTGATTTTCAACACAGCAACTTTTCCTTTGTTCTGCAGATGTTGGCTGGATAGGCGTCAGATTGATGGGTCCTTAAACAGAACTCCCCCTGGGTTCTACGACCGGGTGTGGCAGATCCTGGAGCGCACGCCCAATGGTATCGTTGTAGCCGGGAAGCATTTGCCACAGGTAAAGTGAATAAATCCAGGAGAAAGGACCAATGGGAGGAAAGGGGTTCTCTCCCCTCTGCACTGCAGACAACTTTTCTTCTTTACAGTGTTCTAAGAATGTTCAAAGTAGGGGTGCTCAAGTCAGGATAAGCACCAAAAAACAAGTCATTGTTTGCATCGGAATTGTTTTTTATCCAGTCCATGTTTCTTTTATTTTCCAGTTTCAGTGTTTTTGTATACAGAAAAGCTTTACCAAATGGGTAATTGCTGAGTTGTATCTCTGTCCTTGTATTGGAGTATTTCAGATGCTTCCAGAACCTTCTCTTTATAGATAACACATGATGAAATCTCTTATTGAGCAAGCTGTCTTTTCTCGTTCAGTTATTTGTAAATTTAGGGCTTCTTAAGTGTATTGGCTTGCTTTCTATTGCTATGATAGACACTATGACCAAAAACAACTTGTGGGGAAAAGGGCTTATTTCATTTTCAGTTTCTAGTCTAGCATGAAGGGAAATCAGGACAGGAACTCCAGACAGGAACTGAAGCAGAAACAGAGGAGTGCTGCTTACTGCCTTGATCCTCAGGGCTTGCTCAGCCTTTTTTTTTTTTTTTAACTTTCTTTTTATTTATTCTTTGTGTCTCTCATATCATATCTCAATTCCATTCATTTCCTGTCCCTGTGTATCTGCCCTGTGTCCTTGCGGCCCAAGGGGCCTTACGATGTGTGGATTAGGGAAGCGCTGCTGAGACACAGCACTGGGCTGAGATATAGTCTTTCGGGTTCCTTGTGTTGTGACTTATGGATGGTGTTGAGGAACTGCTGACCCTCCTGTGCATGGATGGTTTTCTTGATTGTATAATATGGCTTGTTTCTTTGATGTGATATTTATTTATTTAGTCCTGGTACTTAACTCAACTCTACTTATACAGAAGCAGAAATGGAGTGTATATCTGCTTGTAGTATTGAAATGTAACCATATTAACTTTGAGGTGGCTCTTTAGATGAAAAACAAAAATGTCACAGATGAACCTGTATGTGTTTTGCTTATACAGACACAAGAGTGTCTGTGAAACAGCTCACAAGGAAAAGGGAGGAAGTGTCTAAAGATCTGTTACAGACTCTTCATTGATCCCCTCCCCCCTTAGCCATTCAAACTTTAAATTGTGTCACAAGTCTATTCTTACTCAAAAACTGAATTCAAAAGTTGGGTGCTCTAGCCAGCCTGTCACCTGACAACCATGACAGCACCTCTGCTGTCAGCCCTGATGCTTCCTTCTCATTCCTGGCCTCATTGGCAGTGCAGTGTGGCCACCTGTGGACACCTGTCTCAACCCCCACCCCACCATACCAGTCAGGCTCCATTTGATTCTGTGATGGCCTCAGCTGTGTGTACCAGCCTCTCTCTGCATTAAAAATATATACATGTATATTAGGTATTGTTTCAAGTGCCATTTAGTTCTGGTTACAATTCTGTGTGAACTTTTTTTCTTTCTTGTTAATTTTTTAAGTTAGGATACAGAGTAATGAGTTTCATTATTAGATTTTCATATATATGTGTCAGTATACTTTGCTCTCATTCCCTCCCCCACTGCCCTTTTCCATGTGTGCCTCTGGCTAAGCCCCTTCCTTCTCCCAGACAATCCCTTCTGCTTTATGTCACGTATAATCTATTACACCTTCCCTTCCCCCACTTGCTTAAGATGGCTTTCTCCCCTCTCATGATCTACATTACAGTTTCATTATGTGTGTATGTGTGTGTGTACATAATGTGCACACACACACACACACACACACACACACACACACACACACCTGGTTTCAAGTATAAGAGAAAAACATGAGTCTAAGTCAGCCTTCTGTTTCTTAATATAATGCTTTCTGGTTTGATCCATTTTCATACAACTGTCATGATTTCATTTTCTGTGTCTTTTTGTTTTGATTTTTTAGGTTAATATACAAAGTAATGGGTTTCAGCACAATATATTCACTCATGTGTTGTCATACTTTGTTCTCAGTTCCGTTCCTCAGCTGTGCTCCCCTATACCCCCTGCCCCCTCAAGCTGGTTCCTTTCTTCCTACCTTCTGCTTTCTTACTACATGTGTTCCGTTACCCTCTCTACTTCCCTGGCTCTTAAGATCTCTTTCTCTCCTCTCAGGGTCCCCCTTTTGATTTTTGTGGTGCATGCACATACACACATTCTCTCTCTCTCTCTCTCTCTCTCTCTCTCTCTCTCTCTCTCTCTCTCTCACACACACACACACACACACACACACACACTTTTAAATCTAGGTTTCTGTGTGAGAGAAATTTATTCAGAATTTGTTTTTCTCAGTCTGGCTTAACAAAACCATTTCTAGTTTTATCAATTTGTGGCAAATATTTGACAGTTTTCTTATTTTTGTGGTATCGTCATCTAGCTTTACTATGAGGGCAATGCTAGCTTCCTAGAATGGATTTGAAAATAAGAAAAATCTATCTTATGATCTGTTTAAGAAGCATTGGCATTAGGTCTTATTTAAAGGTTTGGGAGAATTTGACAGTGAATCCATCCATTCCTGCAGTTTTCATCAGGGTCTTTGGCTGCTTCAGTCTCATTGATTGTTATAGACCTGGATTCTAGGTGTTGTTCTTTTAGTCTCCATTTCATTAATTTCTACCCTGCTCTGTATTGTTTGTTGCCATCTATTGCTTTGGGGTTTAGAGTGTTCTTTTTTCTAAGACCTTGTGATGCATCATTAGGTTATTTATTGAAAAAATCTTTTTATTTTTAGCTTATTTTTATTATTCTTAACTATGTATATTGGATTGGTCAGGTTTCTATAGAGTAACAGAACTTACAGTGTAGTGTGTGTGTGTGTGTGTGTGTGTGTGTGTGTGTGTGTGTGTGTGTAATGATGATTACAGGCTGCAGTCCAGCTAACCCAACAATGGCAGGCTGTGAACAGAAAGTTCAAAAACCCCAGTAGTTTTTCAGTCCACAAGGCTAGACATCTCAGCTGGTCTTCAGTCTATGCTGGAATCCTGAAGAAGTGTAGGCTCTAATGCCAGTGAAGTAATAGACTTGCTAACCAGGTGAAAGCAAGCAGACGGATAGCAAAATCTTCTTTCTTCCATGTCCTTAGAGGCTTCCAGCAGAAAGGTGTGTGCCAGATTAGAGTTGTGTCTTCCTGCCTCTAGACCTAGATTAAAGGCATACGTTCTCCAGCCTATATACTGCCAGCAGCAGCAGCAGCAGCAGAACAATCATAGAAACGTTAGGTCAAGGTGTAGCCTATGAGATGGGAAGTAACGGGCTACATTTTCTTAATTAGAACACTCATGTTCTCCTTTATGAAATTTAAAGGACTAGGGAAGATTTAGTAGGAAATTAAGAATAGAGAGCTTAACTGAATAGAGCAATGAAGTATACACACAGTCTTTCACTCTCCTCAAATTAGACATATAATCTCTGATTCATAATCACTCATTGATCAGCCTATGAGATGAGACAAGTGATAACAAGTTAGGCATACTGGAAAGTATGCTTGGAATAATCACAATGTAGCTTAACTTGCAAAAGCATCTGCTCTACACCCAGAAGAACCCATAACCACTGGACACTTTGAACTAACCCTAGCCCTAACAAGCATAATCTACTTCTATGTAAATTAAAGCATTCATATAAATAGAAGTATTAGTGAAAGAAACTCACTTTTAGGAGTTATAGAGAGAGTATCATCAGGGAAAGTTGAAAGACAGATTTAAAATACCTCAAGACTGGGGATTGAAGCATGTCTTTTCCCAGCTTGAAAGAAATGGATTAAAGGCCTGTGTGCTGGGTATATGCACATGAGTGCAGGTGCCCACAGAGACTAGAGGTGTCAGAATTCCCTTGGAGCTGGCTGTGAGCCACCAGACATGGGGCTGGGTTTGGAACTCAGTTCCTCTGGAAGAACAGTGTTCTTAACCACTGAGCTATCCCTCCAGCTGCCCCCCCCCATTTGATGAAAGTATCATATAATCTTTCTTTTTTAGAACTGCCTTAGCTCAAAGATTCTGGTAAATTGTACTTTCTTTATTATTTGATTCTAAAAGTTTATAATTTTCCGCTTAATTTCTTCAGTGGCCAACTGGTCATTCAGGTGTTGTTCATTCTCTACATGTTTATGCAGTTTCTATAGTTTTTCTTGCTGCTGATTTCTAGTTTTATTAAAGTTTTGTCTGATAAGACAAGAACTTTTTTCTATGTATTTATTTTTGTGTTTGTTAAGACTTGATTTGTGGCTTAGAATGTGATCTGTATTTTAAAAAGTTCCATAAGCTGCTAAGAAAGATATGTATTCTGTATCTGTTAGTGGAATGTTCTGACATATCTATTATTTGATCTGTGTTATAGTTTATCTATCTTGGTTTCATTTCCTACTGCTGTGATAAAATACTCTGGTAAAAGCAACTTAAGGGAGAAAGGTGTATTTGGCTCACAGTTCCAGATTGTGTCGATCATTGCAGAGCAGTCAAGTGGCAAGGACTTGAAGCAGATAATCCTATTCTATTCATAATCAAGAGCAGAGAGTAATGAATCAATGTGTGCATGTTGGTATTCCATTTCATATACATTTCATATACAGAGAATGGTATTACCCACAGAGGACAAGTCTTCCTGATAGTCAAGATCATCCCCCACAGAAGTGCCTACAGCTGACTTAGTGTAGAAAGTCCTTCATTGAGAGTACCTAGTGGTTTTGGATTATGTCAGGTTGACAACTAAAACTAGCTATCATGAGCTCTGAAGTCCCTTGCACTATCTATCTGAAGATAACAGTTGAGTGCTGAAGTTACCCACTATTATATTAGGACCTGCATTACATGTTATATCTGTTTGTTTTTATTTATGGAATTTGGAGTCCCAACATTTGGTGTATATATATTTACAACTGTTATGGTTTTGTGGTGGATTGTTCCCTTTATCAGTGTTACTGTAATGACCTTATTTATCTCCTCTGATTTTGATTTAAGTCTAATTTATCAACTATCATAGTAGTTACTTCAGCTCTAGCTGCTGCTCACCTAATAGACTGACTTCCATTGACTCTGAGTTTGTGGGTATCTTTACCAGTGAGGTGTGTTTCTTGGAGACAACAAATAATTAGGTTCAGTTTTTAAATCCAATCATCAATCCAGTTTGTGTCTCTTTATTGGCAAGTTGAGACTGTTTACATTGAAGATTATTTAGGGATGTGTACTAATTCCTGTGATTTTGTTGGTGTGCTTTTCCATTGGTTTACTGATTTAGACATGATCAGTTCCTCCTTAGCTCTTGTTTGTTCATCTTCTATTCCTTTTATGAAATTAATTCTTTACTGGGCTGTTATGATTCTGACTGCCCTCCACAAGATCACACAGAGGCAATGTCTAGCTCTCTATCTTAATCCTGCTTCAAGAAAGGTACTTTATTATTCCCTGAAATTCAGGATGAGGAAACCAAAACAGTAGAATAATTTCCCCCAGGGGCCCACACTCAGTAAGTAACTGACAACTGTTAGTTTGGCTTCTGAGCCTTTTCTCTTTACCTCTCTGCTCTACTCTAGGTTCTTTCAGAAGAGTGGAAAATAAGGCTAGTTTGATATCTCATCTCTATGATTAACTTTCATCAATGCCTAGGAGCTAGACTGCCTTTCTAATAAGATATCTTAGGAAGTTAATATAAAACTAGAAAATAGTCTTTTTTTCCTTCCATCACCACATTCACCCTTTTGTTAGACATCTAAGAACTCACAGTAGAGAACTGTCCTGGCAGCCAAGTTTCAGGTTTCCCAAATCAGGTACTACTTGTAACAATAAATGTATTATACTGACTGTGGAATACAATAATTGTACTAAATATTGGACTGAGGCATCATTACAGTAGATTGAATACCTTTCTGTCACCTATGTCAAGAAGAAGGGCTTCCTCAATCCTAGTCTAAGTAACAAATAGATGCACTTTTTAAAGCTATGGCTAAGTTCCCTGTAAACCACTGGGAAGAAAGAAAGTGGGTCCTGTCTTCTGCATCTCTTGGAATAATGCTACTGATCTTCCTGGCACACAAGCTTACCATTAGGGTTTCTCCTTCCTGTCCTCAGGGCTGCTCTCTGTTATATTTACTTTTCTCACCACCAAGCACCTGGCTCTGAGCAACAAAGGGAGGAAAGGTCTATTGTAGCTCATGGTTCAAAGGAAGGCAGTTCTCTGTGACAGTTAAGAGGGTGACAGTGAGAACAGTTGGGTTCAAGGTAGTGAGCGAGAAGCAGGAAGTGGGGAACGATAGAACTTAACAGCCTTTGTCTTTTATTCAGACTGCAGCTCTTGCTGCCTGCATCTAGGCTGGGTCTTACTCACTCAAACTTTTCTGGAAACATCCTCACAGCACACCGAAGGTGTTCCTCATTAATGCTCCATGTGCTTCTTAATCCAATAACATTGACAGTCACACTTGGCCACCATGCTCTCCATGCTCTGACATGGATGGGACCCAGTATTCTCAGTGATTTGTCCTTAACAAAAGGCAAAGGGAAAGGTTCTTTCAGTTTTGCCTCTGCCTCTTTTTTTCCTGCCATTTCTGCACATGATTTTTGCTTATTCGTAGCATTTTTCTGTTGGAATCTTGGGGGAAAAAAAAACAAAAGAAATGTTATAAATTCAATAGCAATGACTTAGACTCTAAAGTCCAACAGCAAGCATAACTTCTCATGTTAATTCTGGATGCAATGTGTGTTCTATTCATAGTCTCAGTTTCTAGCTGTTACTTTTATTTATGGAGTAGATTTTTAATACAGTCCTTTCCCCTAAAATTATTAGCATAATGAAGATAATTACTAAAAGTGGGAGGCTTAATTTATCACAATAGTTGGCTGGCTGGCTTCAGTAGTTTGACATATATAAAATTTAGTAACAAGAGTGAAAATGATCTCTCTGGTCTTATAGAAACTGGAAAGATTATTGATTAGAAAATGAAATTCCTCTATTAAATGATACACAGAGGATGACATTCAGCATGTTAATGTGGAGCTTTTTTCTTTTTTTTTCTTTTTCAGCAACCAACCTTGTCGGATATGACCATGTATGAGATGAATTTTTCTCTCCTTGTTGAAGACATATTGGGAAACATTGACCAGCCAAAGTACAGACAGATCATTGTAGAGGTTTGTATTTAAAAAAAAAAAAAAGTAGATCACTGAAGGCTTGCTTTCTGTCTGCTCAGTGAAGAATAATACAGAAAAACTACCATCTCCCCCTGAAACCAAGAACTCTGCCCATCACCTGCCAGCTCCTCCGAAAGAGTCATCAAGAAGACAGACATCCTTGATCTGGTTCAAATCCCTTGTCCTATGGTTCAAGTACCTTAAACTCCCTTAGGTGGAAAAACCAAACAGACCACTCACCCAGCTGCACTCATCCCGCCACAGCCAGCGCATCAGCGGAGCCATAACGGCAGAGGGAGAAATCATTGCCTTCCATTTAGTGTTTAGCCTTTCCTATTTATAGGAATAATACACTACAATTATAGAATATTAGAAGAATTTAGAGAATTATGGGGAGCAAGAGATCCTTGCTGCTCATGTTCCCAAGGGCATCTTTCCAAGCATGGTCTGTGAAGAGAAGACATTGTGTAGCACACTAAAGTACATGAACCTGTGAGCACATTCACACACTTGCCCTCAGTCCCATATAACACTGTACAGTGAGTTCCTGAAATGGAGAATTTAATGTATGACCAATGCTCCCACTCTCTCTTTCTTGGCAATGTCTCTATCAGACATTATATTCTTGCAAGTAACTCATATGTCTTATTGACATAGAATCTAGCAGCAAATATTAAGGTAGATTTGGCCCCTGCTCAGCCCATTGTTTCTGGAGCTGCAGTCAAACCTGAGTGATGATATTCAGTATCATCTCTAGCCCAGGATGTGAAATAGGATTGTCCAAGCATTCACACAGCAGGCAGGAGGAACAATGCAGAGATGGAGGTCCAGAAAGGCAGGGTTAGAAAGATACTTTCTTGTGCCATATCCTTAGCTTTTCATGTCCAGTGTCCAGGGAAGGTAGTCTTCTCATTGACCTCTGATGACCTTGGTGCCTTTCCTCTGACTGAAGAAATTTCCTTTAGAACTGCAACACAAGAACACAAGATCTCTGTCTAAAGCCCACCCCGCCCATAGGTCTGCGTGCCGCATTGTGACCCCTGGGTTTTACTGTAGTGTCTTCAGGTTCTGCCTCGCAGCATTTAGATAAGATGTACCCAGTAAGATTCCTAAACTTAGAACTAGGAAGTCTTTGCGGTTAGTGTACAAAGCATTAGGTTCATCAGAAGGCCCTTACTAATTACCACATACATGACTACAGTCTGTCTATGACCATTTGTTGTCTAAACTGAGCATTATAAGCCAGTTCTGGTATCTCAGACCTTTAATCCCAGCACTTGGGGGTGGGGAGGGCGGGTGTTCATCTTTGTGAGTTCCAGGCCAGCCTGGTCTACATAGTGAGTTCCAGGACAGCCAGAGCTATGTAAATGTACATACTGCATGCACATACACAATCAAAAAATAAAATTTTATCTGGGGATAAATTATGGTGCAGCCAAATAGGTTGATGAAGGCAAGCTCTTGGCCAGCTGAGTTTTCTCTCCATCCCCAAAATGTCATCTTCAAAAAACTACCAGTGACTCAAAGATCTCTCTGTGGCTACAGGATACTGTGATAAACGTGCATGTTCCAAATAGAACAGGTGCTACTGATGTTCAGAGTTAGGATTCTGTCCATATTGCTTCATAATACAGAGTGCTGCCAATCAGATCCCTGATGAAACCCTGTCTAGGCTGTGTCACTGTTGTGGTTCATGTCAGTGGCTTTCAATATCCATCTCTTGTAGTTACTAATGGTCGTGTCTATTGTGCTGGAAAGAAACCCTGAACTAGAATTTCAAGACAAGGTGGATCTAGACAGACTGGTCAAAGAAGCATTTCATGAGTTCCAAAAGGATGAGAGTCGGCTAAAGGAAATGGAGAAACAAGTAAGTGGAAAGGACGGCATTCGGACAAAGCTTTCATTGTCTTAGCTTTTGCAATGGCCTCTAATCTTATTTCACATCCCAGAGTGCAAATTTAGAATGCTTGAGAGACAGTCAGACTCACTTGAGGAATTAATATTACTTTTTAGCTAATTACTAGTTGATTGAGCTATGAAGTTCTGACAAAAGAAAAAAGAAATCTAAGATGAGATAATTTTTTTATGCGGCTGACAATTAAAATGTGTTTTGCCAGAGAGAATCCACTGATTCCAGAAGGCTGTAAAATAAATTCAGAGGAAGATGGGAGTGTAGAGTGGGCAACACTGGAGCTATGTAATCCCTTCTGGGCTCTCTGCTTAATATTGTATGCTCATCTGTGAAAGGGTTCCCTAAGTAAATAAAAATTACTAGCAAAGAGAAGGCTGCTAAAAATGTCTGCTTTTGTTTTCTATGCTGAGAAGACGCCTGGGGAAAAGGAAAGCAAAGTGTGGGAAGCTCCTAATTTCCATGAGGAAACTTTCTGCAAATGTATTTCCCTCTTAGGCAACTGCTGATTTCAGCTGTCAATTCCAAGGACTTGTTTACTCTCTTCTTTTGTAGGATGATATGACCTCCTTCTACAACACGCCCCCACTGGGAAAACGGGGAACCTGCAGCTATCTGATGAAGGTTGTGGTGAACTTGCTGCTAGAAGGAGAAGTTAAGCCAAGCAATGGGGACTCGTGTCTGGTTAGCTAGCCAGGGGGTGTAGGAAGCGCAGGTGATAGCTTTCCAGCTGTGCCTTTTCTGTTGGAGCTAATCCAGGCAGCCAGTAATGAGTGAACTAAAGAGTTAGTGAGGTAGATGTTGTATTCTGTTTGCCATTATTTTTTGCATGCCAGCTGCAGTTGAATGGTAAGCAGTGATTGGAATCAAGTGAAACCCCAGTTTTCATGATTTGTGCCAGCTACCATAATCTTCACTGAACCACAGAAATAGCTTGTGAATTGAAAATTCACTACTGCATGTTTTGTGATCAAAAATTCCATCGAAATCCTGCTTCCTTTAGACCAAATTTTTGCCTTCTGGCCATTAAAACAAACGTGCCAGCTGGTGATGCTTTACTGGACTTAGGCAGTATTGAGAGAATGTACCCACCCCTGTTGTACTCAAAAAGCAAGATCAGCAATGCACATCAAAAAAAAAGCAAAACTGACCCCCTGATATTTAACCTCAGAAGCTGCATTATTAATAATGCTGTACAAAACTCTTAGTTTTTACCTATAAACATGACTATGGTTTGGTATTGTGCTAAGTATAAGGGCTGGTCTAAGATAGAATATATCAAGCATTTTATGAGCATCTGTTAAATATAGGATTACAGAAGTGTATTAACTGCACTCATATACATCCCACATGCAGGCACATACACCTACACATAATTACAAATAATAATAAATATAAAAACTTTTAAGTAGTTAAATTTGTAAAAGCAAAGTTGAAAGTCAAAAAATTCTGTTTCTGAACTAACAAATGTGTCTGGAAACATTCTTTGTTCAAGTCTACAATACTGAACTTAATAACCCTGAATGTTTTCATTTAATTGATTTGGACATGGAATTAGCTGCCAAATTTACCTAAGCAAGTAGATTAAATATTTAAATCTTATTAATGTATTTTCTTCCTAGATGTCACATGTGGTCCACTTGCTTGGGCTCTGATCCCAACAAGCATTGTTTTTTCTGACAGTCTTACTGAGTTTCACCTAAGACATCAGGTTTGTCACATAAAATTTGTAACCCAGTGTTAGAGTCTGAAAGATTAAGAAGGGACAAGTGGTTTTTCTAGTCAGCTGACACCAAGTAAATGGATGTATGAACACCTGAAGAAATGCAGCCCAACACAGCTCCAACCAGTTTGGGGTATGGCTGGCTCCTAGATTATGTATAGGACACTATGTATGTCAGTCAGCAAAGCTGGGAATAATGGTACAATTCAGCCTTGCAAGCTAGACAAAGAAGAGAAATACCTGACTCAGTATGTGAAGAGAAGTTATGAAAAGATGGTCCAGAGGAAGCCACTTACAAAACTTAAGCCAGAAAAACATAGTTAGTTGTTAATCCCATGGAGAGAGAATAAGTTCTGATGGCTGATGGGTAGGGAAGAGAAATTAAAGAATGGCAGAGAGGAAAAGCCCTTGAAATATTTAATACTTGTTAAAATTCAGAAGGAAGTAAATACTTGTATCCTTAAGAATTAAATTTTTTGATTAGCTGAGCAAAGTTGCAAAAAACAGCTCTTAGTTAAAATAGACATCACTTGCAAGTCTGTTTCTGAACAAGCACTTAGTTTCCTGTTACACATGCTAAGTTTTGACATTTTCTGCTGCTGCTCAAAAGAACTGTGTCAACTTTTTAAAATGTGAAATGCAAAATTTATTGTTCTGCAAGGTATTTTGGGGTGATCAATAAATCTTGATGTTCCTCTATCAGAAGCGGTGTCTGCTTTCTAATTAGAAAAGCAAAATAATCTTAAGAATTAGAGCACAGAACTCATGAAATTTAGAAGTCACATTTGATCTACAGAGCCCACATGTTTTTACAGCTGTGCTAGAGGCTGACTGAAATATTAGCACATGTACTGAGGCATGACAAGCCTTAAACCTGATTTAAAGCTGCTCTGTCACACTGGCAGATTCTCTGTGTTAAGTTTATTGTACAATCAACATCTGTTGGAAACTCCTGACTGCATATCAAATCCAACTGCATTTCCAGAGCATTGTTAGAAGCATGGTGTCTTCCAGACTTCCTTCCATTTTATTTAAGACTTTTAAAAAAGTGGTATTTCAGCCTTTAAAATCAAAATATGAGCCCATCTTGATATCATCTTTGATAAGCTTTCAATGCTTTATGGGTACCAATAAACATTTGTTGAATATCTGAATAATTCAACTTTCCACCCGAGTCTTAAAAAATATATTTAGACACACTGCTAAGCCCTCCGTGAACATGAATGTTAAATAGATGCCATATAAAAGTCTAAGAGGCAGCACCGTGTGGAAACAGCCCTAGCAGCAGAGATGCACCCCATTCAAATGAAGGAGAGGCTGGAAGCAACATAGTAGCCTGCAGCCAGACTATTAGAGCCCTGGCTGGGAAACCAAACGTGTGAATGAGAAAGGAGGGAAGCCAGATTTGTACAACAGCAGCAGCAGCAGCCTTCACACAAGGGGATGGGTACCACATAAACTTAGAAAAGCAGCAAAGAGACAAAAGAGCTGCAGGGATTTGTCTATGGCCCTCATATTCTGGCCTCCCAGAAGCTGAATGGGTCTATGGGTAAATTATGAAAAACTCTAGAGCATTTGGAGGTTCAGATGAGGGTGGGGTCGGCATCAGGAAGGAAGAAAGGAAAATGTTCTTCCAGAGTGACAGCTCTTCTCCCAGCCCATGTTCCAGCATCCCATCTTATACCCCAACAGAGCCAGTGCCAGCCCCTAGGTTAGGAAGGAGCCCTTTCTAAATAACCCAACCATGGACCCCAAATGCATGATTCTTTGTACAAGTACAACTCAAGGACATGTGGCTCAGAATGAACTGGATTTCATGACCACTGTACTCATCAACTTACAGCTTCAGTCTCCTGCACAGGACCTGCAAAAGATCAATCCAGCCAAAATTCTGGAATAGGTGGAGGTACTCCCCAGGCCTCATCCTCCCTGAGGAGCTACTGGCAGTTAGTTGCTGGGGAGGGAGAATCATTCTCTCTTGAATGGTAGAGTTGCCATGCTCCCGTGGAGGGCCCCATACTCCTGAGCAACACTGATTGAATTTAGTGGATATCAAAAACAAAGGATGTCATTTATGGATGGAGCTTTGTTAGGGGGACTTTGGATAAATTAAAGGGGGGAAGGGAGGTTTGATCATGCTTAGTTTATATTAGTAAAGTTTTCAATAAAAAGGGAAGTTATTATTGGAAATTTTAAATTACCAGGAAAGTATCTGGGCAGAAGGCTCAAGAAGAAAGAAAAATGGCAATCTCCTACAATGCAATTTGTAGTTCAACATCAGACATGGCATCAAATTGCATTGTATTCTATTCACCTGTAACTAGAATGCACAGAACAGCACTGTCACAGAAACTGCTGTGTACACCTGTTATGATAAATCTTTCCGCCATAAGCCACTGAGCCCCACACCCATGTGTACGCTTTATGCCAGCCGCCCACCCGAGTTAGGGCCCAAATGAATACACAGAAACTTGTATTAGGTTCAAAGCTGCTTGGCCAATGACTAGGATTCTCATCTGCTAGCTCAGTCTTAATTATCATAAATCTATATATTTTATAAGACTTATTGGACACCTATTGGCGTCCCTCCTTGCCAGTGGCTCACATCCCGCCGCTGGAGGAGGCGCAGAGGGGAAAAGGGGACACTTCCTATTTCCTTTGCTTAAATATGAGTCTCCTTGCTATGTCACTTCCTGCCTGGATCACCACTTCTCTACTACATTTCCCAGAATCCTCTTTGACTCCTAGTCCTGTCTAACTTGCTTCCATTGGCCAAACAGTATTTTATTCAACAATGAGATAAACATACACAGTACTGTCCCCATCATACACCAGTGTCTACTACAGACCAGGATCATAGCTGGGCACTGACTGCATTCTGTGAAATGGAAACAGACATCCAAATGGCCCTCCGAGTCCTGTCTTGACCCTCAATGCTTGCCCCTCCCTCCTCCCTGTGCATGCAGCATGGAATGACAGCACAGAAAAGGTGTGGAAGATGGCCAGACCATTTTCATCTAGGTGCCTAGCTGGAGGACAGTCTATAGCTGCTCTAGATCCTGCCCCACACATTGGTGGTGAACAAGGCTTCAGTCAGCAGAAACTACCCTAGTTACTTAGGAAGATTTTAAGGAATGTTTTAACCAGGTATATGTGAGTTAGGGAACTGAAAGGGTGTGAAACGTTATATTTGTGTGGAGGCAGTGGCTGTTTTGCAGCAGTGTAAGTGTTAAGTAGGACAGTGTCCAGAAAGAAGGGAAACAGACTGGATGAAGAGTGGGATAATCTCACCACTAATTATGAATACTTGGTCCCCCTCAAACAGAGAATTCCTTTTCCTTTTTCTGAAGGATTTTCTTGGAGCTAAACTTGCTGGGTGCTAAGACAATCTATCACATACTTCAGGACAGGAGTAGAACCAGCAGCCAATAACCAGACCAAAACAGATGAGAGCCTGCCTTTGGGAATTTTGAGATTCCTGTATTTTCTTTTGAGACAGGGTCTGGACTGTCCACAGTCTTGCTATGTACACCAAGTTTGCCTTGAACCAACCATCTACCTTCTGAGTATTGGGATTACCAGGCCTGTACCAGCACACCTGGCTTGAAATTCCTTTCTGAATTGAAATTTTCAGAATATCTGGACTGTAATCAAGTAAGATTACACATAAGATACACATAAGATGGCTAAAACCAGATTCATAGAGAAAGTTATAGCTTTAAACATATTGCCAACAAAATAGAACAAATAACGAATTAAGGAGTAATCTCCCTAATGTGAAATTTGCAGTAAACACAAGGAAAGCAGAGTGAATGTGATAGAGTGAGCAGAAAAATAAATCCAAGATCCAAGTACACTGTACCCTCACCCACAATGTAATATGATGTTAGACAAGCATGCATTGTTGAGATAACACCCATACTACCTCAGTGTTTTGTAGTGAGAACACTTACATGTGCTCCCTTATTGACACATACAATTCATTATTAACCACAGTCACTGTGTCTTGAAGAAAATGTGACCTAGCTACAATACCAATTAGTTCAGTCAATCAAAAACTTACTCATCTTTTGTCTTTCTTTCCTGGCAGATCCTAAAAGGATAGCTATGGAAGAAAAGGGGCCAGAGATTATTAATTACCAGTAGTAGGGCATCCTGTAGCCATTAAGCTAATATCTTAAAGACAATAGGAGAGATTCAAGCTCTCTGAACTCCTGGCAAGATGGAATGGGCTTCCATATATGGTCCTGACACATTCCCTATCTAGAAGCTCATTAATATTCATGATCTTAACAGGGCACAGTGGTGCACACCTGTAATCCTAATGCTCAGGAGTTAGAAGTGAAGGGACCAGCTCCCCATTTCAGCAGCCATAACAGCCTAACACGTGCTTGCCTGACCTTGCCTTGGTCACTAGGAGGTCAGATGCCTGACTCATGGCAAGGAGCCAATCAGAAGTTAGCTGGTGGTGCTGTGCTTTACTGCTCTGGGTGTGCTATACGGACAAGTGCACAGCAATGAGTACAGAGCATAGCAAGCACCCTGGGAGGGCCTATGGGCCATAACAACCAGTTGGCCAATCAACACAGGGCAACCCCCCCAAGCCTGAGGCACACCAATCCTGAGCCTGTGTGTACCCCTAGACACTCCCCTTATGCTGCCCTATAAGATCTCTATCCCGTGCCTTCTCGGCATCTTTTCCCAGCCATCCACCATGGTGGATGGATGAAAGACCCAAGCTAACATGGGGTTAGCTCATTAAACAACTGCAATAAAAGACTCATTGCTTTTGCATCAAAATGGGCCTCTTGGTGATTTGGGGATCCAGAATTTGGGCACAGCAGAAGCAGGGGATTATAGTTCAAGACTAGTCTGGGTTGCTAAGGGAATTCCTGGATTTGGTTCAGCCACGTGGTTGCATGCCAAGGTCAGGAGAAGATATGTTAGGGGTTATTTTAGGTTTCTAGTTACTGTGATAAAGACCATGACTATAAACAACCTGGAGAGGAAAGGGTTTTTCCCAGCTTGAAATTCTCAGGTCATGGTCCATCATCAAAGGAAGGCAAGAACCTGGAAGCAGAGGCCATGGAGGAGTGCTGCTTAGTGGCTTGTTCTTTTTCTACCTGCATAAGAGTGATTACTATTAGTCATGCAACAGAGTCAATATTTGAAATCTCCTCCAAAGAAATTAGTCCATTACTTTGAATTTAGCTTCAGGTAAATTCTTAGGACCAGGAAAAAAACAGCTACTTTCTTTGCCCAAATATCACAAAAATGGTCTCTAGCCCAGCTGTTCATTTGTTTCTTTCTAAAATCTCTTGAGTTGGATTTTCCCAGTCTGCATAGTTCTCAGCACTATTGTCTTCCAGGCTCTTAATGGATTGGCCGATTAAGTTCTGCTTACATCATCTAACTGCTTTCCCAGTTCAAAGTACTTTTTCACAGTCCTTCCCAAAACATGGTCGTGTCTACCACAGCAGCACCCATAACCTGGTACCAGTTTCTGTCCTCACTATTCTGTGTTGCTGTGACAAAATGCCAGGACTAATACAATGAATCATTTGATTTGCCTACAGTTTCAGAGGACTAGAGTCCACGATGGCAGAGAAAAGACCTAGTAGCAGGAACAGCTGAGAGCTCACATCTGGATCCACAAGCAGGAGGCAGAGAGAGTTAACCAAAAAGAAAAAAAAAATGACACA